TTTTTTTTTTTTTTTTTTTTTTTTTTTTTTTTTTTTTTTTTATATATATCTTTTTCCTGAACCGGAATGTCAATTAGAAAGATTTAGCTGAGAACAGCAACTTTCCCTAAAATTTCTTCGGCTTTCGACTTTTCTGCTCAATTCAGTCTCTCTACCAGAAATCTACGGAGAAGTGATCGAAGAATTCGGATATGGATTCCGAAATCCAACGTAGAATCGAGGAAGCCGTCCGCAGAATTCTCGAATCCTCCGACATGGACGAAATGACCGAGTCCAAAATTCGAGCCCTCGCCTCTAAGGACCTCGACCTCGACCTCTCCAAATCCCCTTACAAGGCTCTGGTTCGCAAGGTTGTGGAATCCTTCCTCCAAGAACGGTCTGAAGATCAGCCGCAAGAGGAGGCCGAGGATGCCTCTGCTGCTAAGGAAAAGGAGTACGACGACGATGGCGATCTCATTGTTTGTTGGGTTTGTTTTTCTTTTTTTCTGCCTCTTCTCCTGTCTATTAGCTTGCGATTGCAGTTCCTTCCGTTTATTAGTGGAGATTTGACTATTTTTTAAAGTTCTGATCGTATGTTTATGGTAAAAATTTAAAATGTGGTGTTATTTGGCTCAGTTATCCAGCAAGAGGAAGGTGACGATTCAGGATTTTAGAGGGAAGACTCTGGTTTCGATCAGGGAGTTTTATAGAAAGGATGGGAAAGATCTCCCTACAGCAAAAGGTAATTCTCCAAATGCTCTACTTGCTTGCGTTTGTGAAATTTTGTATGTTAATATACTACTTACAGAGTACAAATTAGGCGAAACTCCTGTTATATGTGTGCTTCTTGTTTGATTTTGTGAAGATAGTGAACATTCTACTACTCCATAACCATACTGATGCATTGAAAGCTTTTACTGAGTGAAGCAATTGAAAGTGGGAGAAATCACTGTTTCTTAGAACATGTTGGTGAACTATAAGTAAAAACGAAACAATTATTGGCTTGATATGGGAAGTGGGAAGATGATTTTCGTTGAAATATAAAGCAGTGCACTTTGTCGAAGTTAAATGTGCAACCAGGGCCACACATTTGATTTGTGATGTCTCTGATACAAGGTAATGTGTGAAACTTGTATGAGTCTAATATGAATAAGGTGAGGAACAGGGATGATGTTTATAAGACCACCGCATGTTGATCTCTTTGTTCGTGAACTTGGATCTGTGATTAAACTTTAAGTTAAATTACAAATTTAGATTTGTGTTGATTTAGTCTCTAAATTTTCAACTTTGTATCTAATTGATTCTTAAACTTTCAATTTTTTGTCTAATAGATGGCTGAACTTTCAATTTTGTGTTTAATAGTTTCTTAACAAATTCATTGATCTATTAGGTATAAATTTAAATCTGATGTCTAATGAAAACCTAAACTTTCAATTTCGGGTTTAATAGATCCATGAATTTTAACAAATATGAAAGTTCATATCCAATAGAAGTTAGTCCGGTAGCCAACCTAGCAACAATAACATAAGCGGAAGAAATAAGTGGATTCTGGATTCATGATAAGTTCTTCACACCAAATGAAAGAAATGGTTAATGATACAGTCGATTTAGATCTAAGTAAAAACTCCAAAATGAAGTAATAATATTATTGAATCCTCTGAACTAGTTCAATATTCCTTTTTTAGTTCCTATCCATCCTCGTCTTCTTTCTATTTCTTTATTTTTTACTTAAGTATCCTTTGAATTCTCTATTCTTTTTTCTGGATTTAATCTCTCTATTCATTCAATATTCAATTCAAACCTACATGACAGATGAAACAATGGAATAAATTTGTGATGTTGAAAGTTTAGAGATCAAATATACACCAACTTCAAAATTCAATGACTAATTTGTAATTTAAGCTCAAACTTATATAACTTTTTTCTTTTGTTTTGGAAATTTAAATGGCTTGTTCTTTTAGATTAATAACACTGGTCTTTGTTTTTTCCTCAGGAATAAGCTTGACTGAGGAACAGTGGTCCGTCTTTAAGAACAATGTACCTGCCATAGAAAAAGCTATTAAGAACATGCAATCACAAATAATGTGAAGTAAGTTATCGCCTGATAGTTGATGGTTTGAAGCCTTGATGCTGAGTATCTATGGAAGCCAGATTTATCACCGTGAAAAGAGGAAGGAATTGTACTTTTGGGAATTGCTGCAGTTTGTTGGTTGCACAATATTTTGGTATTTTGGTACTTCTGTTTTGAGCCTAGACCGCCAACACTTATTAAAACTTCCAAGGTACCTTTGTACATTCATGGCATCAAGATGGACAACTGTGGTACACATTCTCCATCACCGGAACTCATAATGATGAATGATCTCTTATCTTTTTGTTTTATGCTAAAAAACGCAGACACTAATATAAATGTGTGCCATCCCAGCCATGCCATGAAGGGTTAAATGTCTGACATTGTTATCGAACTGATTATAATTTAGGAGACTGAGTTAGGCTGTGACTATCTATCTATATATATATATATGGCAGACATTGATAGAAGCTCTTTGTGAATTGTGCAGGTTTGTTTTTAGGAATTATTATCATGCTCGAATTCATGCAGCTTGCTGCATTCTGCAAAGATACCTCTAATTAGGTGTGATGATTCATTTTATGTTGTTTTGTATCTGTTTTCAGCATTTCTTTTCTAACTTTTAGGGTTAAATTTTAAGTTGAGTTTATAAATTGTGTATAAACAGTGTAACAGCCAAGCCCATTAACAGACATTGTCGTCTTTTGGATTTTCCTTTCTGACTTTCTTTCAAAGTTTTTAAAACGTGTTTAGTTAAAAGAGGTTTTTGCACCCTTATAAAGAATATTTTGTTCTCTCCTCAACCGATGTGAGATCTCACAATCCATCCCCTTTGGGGCCAATATTCTCGCTGGCATTCGTTACCTTCTCCAATCAATGTGGAACTTCCAATTCACCCCTTTCAAGATCCAGCGTCTTTACTAGCATACCACCTCGTGTCCACCCCCCTTCGGGACTCAACCTCCTCGCTAACACATCACTCTATATCTGGCTCTGGTACCATTTGTAATAACTTAAGCCCACCATTAGTAAATGTTGTTTTTTCCTTGGGTTTTCCTTTTTTAGTTTTCCTTTGTCTTCAAAAAACATATGCAAGGGAGAGGTTTTTGCACCTTTATAAAGAATGTTTCGTTTTTCTCCCCAATCGACGTGAAATCTCACATATAGCTTTTAAACTTAAGTATCTAGTAAGTATATGAAATTTTAAATTTGTGTTTGACCGGTCTTTCAACTTTAAGAATTCTCTATTAAATACTTAAATTTTATATCTTGTGTTCAATAGTCCTTTGAATTTTTTCTTTTGTGTAAAACAAATTTTTAACCTATTTAACATTTTATACAAATTCACATACCAAATTTAAAACTAAACCGAGTTTTATGGTTGGAACGAGTTGGAACCACTTTAAAAAACGATAGAACGGCGAATTAACTGGTTTAAATGTGTACTTAAAAAGAACCATATTTTTGTCCCAACTTTTTACTCCCAAAAGGTACGTTAGGCTTTGTTTATATGGTGCGTGGTGACTCCCAAAATTATCAGCTTTATCGACTCTGCTTTAAAAATGTAATTGGGTTTGCTTTAGGGATGCTCACATTCTTTCTTTTTCCTACTTCATTTCAACCAAAACCTTTAATTTATGATCATAAAAGTTCGTCTTTTTTAGGTTACGCCATCTTTCAAATACGACGTCGATGTAAAAATATGATTCTTTTTTACTGAAAATGTCCAAAAAATCTGAATATTTTATTAAAATTAGATCTAAACAATAATAGATGGTGTGGAAATTATCAAAAACAAAATTCATGAACCTAAGTAAATACATGAATTTGAGTTGTCACACGTACCACGTGAGATTATGCATATTAAGCATTTCTTATAAGGGTGTAGAACCATTTTTCTAGTAGACTGACGGCGATACGTAACAAGCTAAAGTAGACAATATTTACTAGCGGTGGACTTGAGTTATTATAGTTGGTGTCAAAGTAAAAAATCAGGCAGTATGTCAATGAGGATGCTGGACCCTCATGGAGGTGGATTGTAGAATTCCACGTCGGTTAGAGAAGAAAACAAAACATTTATTTTAAAATTGCGAAGATGATACTAACGTTAGGCCTCCAAAGAAGTAGATTGTGGAATCTCACATTAATTAGAGAATAAAACGAAACATTTCTTTTAAAATTACGAGAATCATACTAATACATCACATGGTACTGGTGTATTACATACATACCACATTAAAATCAATACAAGTTATGGAGAAATTTGAATTCATTGAACCTATGAAAAAAAGTTTAATTGTTACGACAAACACAGAGTTAATTTAATATATTATGTGTTGGGAAAAGGAATCAATCAAACGTGAGATTCAACACAAATTGTCTCATAAAAAACTTATCTTTTTCATTAAATTATTATTATTACTTATTAATATAACCTTCTTCATTTATGTTGTTTTCCCTCAAAATAAGGCTGTGTTTTTGTCCTTCTCCAAACCTTATCTTCTCCTCCAACGGTCCAAACTCACATGTCTCTCTCTACATTTTCAAAAAAAAAACACACACTCTAAATTGTCTCTTCCTAATTCACTAGCTCTTCGTTCTCTTTCTTCTTAGGTTTTGACATTAATCGATTATTAATCCATCGTTAACGTGTCATTTTGAATAAACAAGCTAAGGATTTGATGACTGAACAGTTGAGACATGTGACGTAGTAATTAATGTATAAAATTTAGAATGTTGCATAAAAAACGCCACAACTGTGTCTCTTTACTTAATTTATGTTTGTGGGTGTGTGAGTATGATTGATTTTACGTATTTAGCTACAACAATTAGGTATCAGAGCTCTTTGGCGGTGTCATTTGGGCACAACAAGTAGTATCATAGCTATTTTAGTTGCGGCATTCTACTACAACAATTGGGTATCAAAACATTTTGGTTGTGGCATTCTGTCACCATAAGTGGTATTAGAACTTTGAAAGTTGTGGCATTACGGTGCACAACATAGAACACATTTACGATGTTTCTTAGAACTATAATAATTGAAATGAGAATTCCACTGGCATTAAACGGTCCTATGAATTAAATTTTCAAAAAAAGAATCTAAAATTTTAAAAAAATAAAATTCGAATTTTTACTATAAATAAGACCACTCGAGAGCTTCGCCATTAATGACCTACAAGAAAAGGCGTCGCAAATCGCAATGGGAAACTGTTCTCTGAAAGGAGTGGCCGCCGATTGCGAAAAGCCCATCAGAATCTTAACGGATTCCGGCAACATAATCAACTTCCATGGCCCTAAACAAGTCGATCAAATCCTCAAGAACTATCCTCCCGGCGTCTATGGCGTTTTCCGGCGCCCCAATCTCTCTTCGCCATTACCCATTTCGGAGCTCCTCGACGCCGGAAAATCCTACTTTCTCCTCCCGCTTTCCCGAGCCGTAGAGAAAGAGAGGTCCGATGCGGCCGAGGATCTGAGAAGTGGGTCGGGGCTGGAAGTGCTACCGACAGGTGGCGACGGCATTTGGAGGGTCAAATTGGTGATTGATACGAAACAGTTGGGGGAAATTTTGGCAGAGGAAGGGAACACAGAGGCGTTGATTGAGAGGATGAGAGCGGCGGCGGCGACGGCGGCGGTGCAGAGTCCACGGCGGGAGAAGATCGGAGGGTGGAAGCCGACATGGGGGAATTGGTCGAAGTTTCTTCCAATTGATGTTGGAAACAATAATAAAGCACAAATCAAGGATTTTCATTCTGGAAATGGGTGTTTATATGCTACATAAACTCCCCCAAATAAATATTCAAATGTAAATTTTGATGTTTTTATGCAAAAATGCATCTATGTTTATATTTATTTCGTTTCTTAAACGGTTTAAGATATGATTACGAGTCCATTAGTATTAAGATCAACAAATCGATGAACGAAATAGAGTGATTCAAACTCTGATAACGTGAATTAAACGTTCATCTCTTATAATGGAACCATGCAATATCCATAACTCAAACCATATAATACATATTTATTGTTACATTACACATCAAACCTTTTCCATCTTCAGTTTAATCTATCAGACAACACCACACAAACACCAAACACACTTATAGCTTAAACTCACATGATCATGATGATCCTTTCGATCATCGTTGTCATTGTTGGCAATTCTATCAATTAATTCGCTTACGAGTAGTATGCGTCCCTGCCTGACTAGTGTACGAGCATGTTATGCTGTTCAACAGGATTGTTCTTCAAATATATCCAGAAGAGAGAGTGCCTGCAAGTTGTTCAGAGCCAATATTAGAGTTGTTGAGGTCTTTGGTTAGCTAGCTACAGAATTCATGGTTTTGTTTGCTCTGCAATTACCTCTGGGATGTTGAGTTCGAGACGAAACTTGGGACCGTCATAGTGGTGAAGAATCGGTCTGAAAGAGTCCTCTTCCAGTGGCTCACATATCTTCCTAGTCACAGTTCTGACCTGTTCCAAACAGTTGAGTTTCATCTTAGATCTATGGAAGTGCAAGATTGAAGGAGTAGGTTCTCTATCCAAACATTACCTGCGCCGGGAAACGAGATTCGCCCGGAGTTTTCTTGTCTTCCCAGGCAGTTGGATCAATGTTTGTCCCTCCAAAGCTTGCAGCCTGAAAACACATATCATAGTCTTAAAAGAAGTAAACCAAACGGACTTAGAGGAGGTCCATGGTTCCTAACATGGTATCAGAATCATGCCCTTAACTTAGTCATGTTAATAGAATCCTCAAATGACGAACAAACAAAAATGTTGTGAACCTCAAAGGTGTAGTCAAAAGTGACTAAAGTGTCGAACAAAGGGGGTACACTTTGTTCGAAGGCTCCAAAGAAAGAGTCGAGCCTCGATTAAGAAGAGGTTGTTGGATGGCTCCATAGGTCTCAGGGGAGGCTCTATAGTGTTACTTTGTTTGAAGGGAGCGATTATTGGGAGAGGAGTCCCACGTTGGCTTATTAAGGGATTGATCATGAGTTTATAAGTACAGAATACATCAGCAAAGCCACGAGAGCATAAGAAGGAGACATGGACATACCTCAAAGATTCCATGGAGTTGGTGGGTAGAATAGTTGTAGAGGAAAATAGGCAGCCCAGGAGTTATGGCCCTGACAGAATCCCTGTATCTTGGAGGCAAACCTACAACGTTGATCAAACAACAAAATCTTAGAACATCCTACACAACAAAACACAGATACATAAAACTAAGCAAAAACCAAGTTGGATCATTAAACTCACCAAAAAGCTGCCTCTTCAGATTCTCTTGCATTGTATCATTGTTGCACACAAAGATATATCCACCAATTGTTTCATTTCTGGGCAAAGACTCAGATGGGGGAAGGGTTTTGAACCTCTTGTCCAAACCATTCTTATTACTTTCCTTATTATCATTGCTATTTTCACCATTAATCTTCTTGTTACTGTTCTTCTTCCCATTCTTTCCTCCATT